TATACTGTTTTTTCCCTGTTTTAAAAAAGTTCAAAAGAATTTTATGGTCACGAAACAAATAATATTAGTAATAGATTTCAAGTTGGGCAAAAATCTTGTATGGTCATGTCTAGGACTGAGTTTGCTATGACTCAAAAACATAGCAGAATCTCTCCTCTGACTATTAAGTACAACTATAATACTCAACACCTTGTCTTGTGTCCTACTACCATTTTCATTAGTATTTTTGACTATAAAACTCCAAAGGAATTTTATTCCCAATTAATCTGCAAACAAGAGGCATTCATTTAACAATCTACGTTATCTAATCTGGACAGGAGATTCAAGTAATGAAAAACATTACCTAGAATTTTTGCTAATTATACCACAAATGATTTGGGCCTTTTTCCAGAATTCGACAAATTACAATGTGGATTATTACCAAAGTAATATAAAGACATAATAAGGAATTTTAAAAATTCCTTATTATGTAAAGTACAAACTTTCCTTCAAATGTTTTCTTTTTCTATCAAAACTGAAAGAGAAAAATATACCAAATGATATGACCATTCTACTAACTACTGAAAATGTAAATACGCCTTCAGTACTTAATGAAGCTTCACAAATGTAAGTGTTCTTCAAATTAAGTGACATAATTTACTTTAGCCTCTGATATTCATAAATGAAAATTTCCCCACAAGCCTCAAGTATAACCTCCATGTGGTATTAGTTTAAAAACTAAATTTTTCTAGTCACCAAAGAAAAAAATAATAATTTTTTATTCTTTGTAAACAGTTACAGTTTAGCTTATATCAACAAGAAAATATGTGTATTTATTATTAAAGGTATTTATTTCAAAAGATAGATGTTTTATCTGCACCACAATCAACAGATGACACACTTAAAGTTAGCATGACTTTGTTTATGTTATATGGCCTTGGTTGTAAGAGATTTCATACTTTAGAAAGAAAGGAAAAAAGAAAAACAATGACTGAAAATAACAATCTCTGCCATATTTGAAAGAATTAACTGTGGCCAAGTTTCAAAGAACAATGTATTTCACATAAAGTTGAGAAATGCTCCAGAAGAGTTTTTATATCCACAACTATCGTTTGAAAACTTCTTTGCATGTTAATCATTCTATCATTCTACACTCCTACAGCACTTAGTTTTTTTCCAACAGATGCCTGTGTTTGAATATATAGTCACGTGTAATTATTTTCTATCTTTCCTTCTCACATGCTAAGTTTACCATTCCTCCTAATAATTAAAAATATTCAACTTCATTTCTTATGAGCAATAATTCCATAGTAATTTAAAGAGAGTATTTTTTAAATACCTGCTGAATGTATGACCTATCTCCTTACTTTTTCAGTTTTAAACCATGTAACACTGTATTATGACAGCACTAACTTTAACTGCTGAATCAAGACAATTTCCTAATGACAGCTATACTTCTTAGAACTTTTTAAAAATATAGCACAAATACATTCAATGGAAAATATTGTTACTCCATCAGCTATTTTTTCCAGTTTAATACTGTCATAATATAATCAGTACACTAAATTCCTATAACAGTTTGCTTCTCAATAACCTCAGACCAGCTTTATAGACATACTATCTGAATTATCCTGGTTAGAAGAACAGCACATTCTATGGGTAAAGAAATCACAATAAGGCTGGGTGTGGTGGCTCACATCTGCAATCACAGCACTTTGAGAGGTTGGACTACTTGAGTCCTAGAGTTCAAGACCAGCCTAGGCAATATCATAAAATCTCATCTCTCTTAAAAAAAAAAAATTAGCCAGGTATGGCGGTACACGTCCACAGTCCCAGCTACCTGGGCAGCAGAGACAGAAGAATCTACTGAGTACAGGAGTTGAAGGCTGCAGTGAGCTATCATCATGCCACTATACTCCAGCCTGGAAGACAGAATGAGACCGTGACTCATTTACTTAACACTGCTATCAGTTGAGATGAAATCTAAAACTCCATTTCTCTACCTATTGTTTCAAGTAGAAAACAAAACCACTAGCAAGTATTTTTCAAGATACACACATACACACACACACACACACACACACACACACACACACACATACACAAATTTAATTATCAGCAAATGAGACATAAGTCTTCTGAAATTAGATTGCCTTCTTCCTAAGGGTACCTACTCAAATTTCTCTTTTGTTCTCCATAACATTTTCATTATTTCATTATTCCTTATCTAAAATCTTAAACAAATGTTAACATTTAGTTTAAGCAATATTTTCTCATTGTAATCCTAATTTTCCATATATATATATATATGCATATTTGCTATCTCATGTCACAAAGCATACCATCTTTATTAAGAGTTCACAACCATGTTTTTAAAATCTTTTTATCTTTCCAACTAAAAAAAAATGAACTGTGTTTAGTCAATTTCCTGTTTGCTTCACTTAAACTAGGAATCTTTCCACCAAAATCATCTTTTTATTTTTTTCTTTTTACTACCTGTCTAGTTTCTTTTTCCCCATCAAGTCTCAGAAACTTGAAAGATATGAAATGTTATTCTCAAATACTCATTCTTCCTATATTTATATCCACTTCTCTTTTTTTTTCAAATTCGTGCAACAAGCCCATCGACTTCATTCCCTTCCACTGGTTTTGAAAACACTAACTGCACACATTATCAAAAATAACAAACATTTTTTGAGCACCAATGATGTTCAAGCAAATAATTTTAAAATTGCACAATACTCATTAAGACGGAAGCATGTCCTGGATGCTGGAGAAGCACTTGGTCCAAGCTGTAGGCAAGGGAGAATGTGCTCCAAGCAAGCAGCTCCTTAGCTCAACTTCTTAAGACCAGAATACATGAGGCAAGGGAGAAAAAGATCAGAGAGGATTCTAGGCAGAAGAACAGTAAGTGTAAAGACAGGGAAGTTAAACAGCACTATGAGCATGAGAACTTCAAGTCATTATGTGTTATCATAGTTTAAAATGAGAGGAGAGACAGTGGAAAATAAGGCCAGAGTTGTGGATGGGGCCAAGTCACAGTTTATCTTAACTTGGACACAAGCAACTAAGTCTGTCTTACATATACAACACAACTTCTCTCATCACCTATTAACTGTGTGAGACAGAAGTACTCCAGCTTTGGCTGACATAAGATCACAAGAGCAAAAAACTAAGATTATCCTGAAAATCAAAAAGTAAAATATTGGCTAGGCGCGGTGGCTCAAGCCTGTAATCCCAGCACTTTGGGAGGCTGAGGCGAGAGGACGGCCTGAGCCCACGGGCTCGAGACCAGCCTGGGCAACTTAGCAAGACCTCTTCTCTACAATCCATCAAAATTAGTTGGGCGTGGTAGCATGTACCTGTAGCTCTGATTACTTGGAAGGCTGAGGTGGAAGGATAGCCGGAGCCCAGCAAGTCGATGCTGGAGTGGCCCTGAGCGTGTGCCACTGTACTCCAGCCTGGGCGTCGGAGTGAGAACCCAACTCAAAAAAAAAATGTAAAATATTTTAGTCAACAAGCATTAAGCAGTCCTTAACATAAATCAAAATCTATAAACATCTAAGTGAGTGGGTTCTTTCTGGTTGTTTCCTAATTTTGATGAGGTCAATAAACAAAGTCAGAAATTATCTTCAAATACATGTTAATAATTAAAACTTCACAAATCCACGATGCATTAAAAATAACCATATTTTATACAGTACAATTATTAATGCATAATGATATGAAAGTAACAGATATTTTTTAAAACTCTGAGTGCTACATAATATTCATATTACAGCCGGGCTCGGTGGCTCAGCCTGTAATCCCGCGCCTTTGGGAGGCTGAGGTGAGTGGATTGCCTGAGCCCGCTGGTTCGAGACCCGCCTGAGCAGCGAGACCTCATCTCTACAATAAATCAAAAATTCAGCCAGGCGTGGTAGCGCATGCCTGTAATTCTGGCTACTTGGAAGGCTGAAGCAGAAGGATCGCAGGAGCCCAGCAGGTCGAGGCTGCAGTGGCCGGGAGCGGCCACTGCACTCCAGTCTGGGCGACAGAGTGAGACTCCAACTCAAAAAAAATATACATATATTCATATTACAAAGAAAAATTTCAGTCTCATGTAAAATCTTCCATATATGTGTGTATATCTCCAAAATGCCTTTTCCAAGTTTTTTTTTTAGCTGAAAGATAATTTTGCTACATGATAGTAAACCTTTTCCTCCAAAGTTTTATTTGGAAGCCAGGGAGAGATAAGGGAAATTATGTCAAATGGTAAACCTATCAGTAATTTATCGGTAATTAGAAATGATACTTTACCTTCAAAAGTAATCCTAAGACCCCTACCAACACTTAAAAGTCACAAAATGAAAGATTGTGCACATTTAAAATTCTAGAAAGCTTTCCTTTTATGAATATATCTTTAGTTGTTCCATATCTCAAAGCAATAAATATTATATGAGGCTGGGCTCAGTGGCTCAGCCTGTAATCCCAGCACTTTGGGAGGCCGAGGAGAGTGAGAGTGAATTGCCTGAGCCTGCAGGTTCAAGACCAGCCTGGCAACTTGGCGAAACCTTGTCTCTACAATAAATCAAAAATTAGGTGGGCGTGGTAGCACGCACCTGTAGTTCTGGCTACTTGGAAGGCTAAGGTGGAAGGATTTCCAGAGCCCAGCAGGTTTAAAACTCTGAGTTGCCCAGACTGGCACACTTACGGCCACCCCCGACAGCTGGGGTGGCCATAAGCGTGCCACAGCACTCCAGTCTGGGCAACTGAGTGAGACTTCAACTCAAAAAAAAAAAATTATATGAAATGTTCTATGAAAAAAATATAACTTAGATAAAATGTTTTTCTTCTAATCTGGAAAAAAAAGTATAATGTAGCTAATAAAACTATATGCTCACTTCAACTACATTAAAAAGAACCAAGGTTAAGGTAGTTCTTTTTTGTTCTTCACCTCTGCTTAAGCATACTTAGTATATTACCAAGGAAAAATTTTCAGTGCATTTCTATTAAATACTAAGAAACAAAATAAAACTTACTTGTATCTGCTTGACTTCCCACACTGATGTATCTATCGTTGCCAGGTAGTGCTGTTTGGTAATAAGTTGTCTCCTCCTGCTGAGGGGTCTTAGCATTCTTCGCAGTAAGGAAAGCCACTGCTAATTCCAAGTTTCCATTACTATCCTTCAGGTGTCAAGACAGGAACATCAAATGTTTTGAAATAATTCTATACATTCTATACATAAAACTTATGCAATTTTCTCCATAATAATACTTTATAGCAAAACTCACTTTCAGATTTGAAATTATCCCTAAGTGACTTTAACTGTATAATGTAAATTCATAATTCATTAAGTATACTTATCAATAGTAATTCCTTTCTATTAATTAAAACAAATATAATATAAAAATTAATCACTAATTTCTTAGTTTTCTATTACTTTCTGGCTTAATAAAAGTCAATCACAAACTTATACTTTTAAGCAAATTAATTAAAAAATGTTTCTGAAATTCTCCATATAAGAGTACAAAATTAATATTTAAAATAGTACTTCTGTAAGCAAGGATAATAAAAGACATTCTCTTTTAAAGTGTTGGATACATACATAGAGACAAACTTAAGCAAAATGTCAAGGACTCACAGGAAGAAAACAGCAAGATGTACTAAAGCTTGATAATATGGAGAGAGACACAGAACTCTAGACAGAAATAATGAATATTCTCCAGATAACAATCCAACCAAAATTGAATATGTAAATTTTATCTAGTTCTCATCAAAAGCACAGCTGGACAAAATTACTCTAAAGTTCATTTAGAAGAAAGTAGATGCTAGAATAACCAAGAATTTCTTAAGTGACAAAATAACAAGAAGAGACTTGCACAGCCATACCTTTATCTATCTTTATAGTCTCTGTATACTTGACAACAAATAAAATACAACCTTAGCTCTAAGACAGCTAACTGAAACAATGTAAGAAATGTAGATGTTCATAATGAAGCTATCTTTGTAACAGAAGGCCAGGCCATGAAGTCTCTGTAGGCCCTAAGAACTTCAACAAATATACATGTGTCAAAGGAAGCCAGTGAAAGATTTTGGGAAGGAATGGCATGGCATGACTTATCATTTTAAAAGGTGCATTCTGGCTATGTATTAAAAACAGACTACAGGAGAGAAAGGACAGAAGCAGAGACCGACATTATTGCTATTATATTAAATATAAGACATGGTAGAAGTAGGATCAGGATGATTCCAAAAAGTGAAGCCTAAGCAACTGGAAGAACGAAGGCCCCAAAACCCCCGCCAGTTTCATTTCTAGCAGTTGGTAAGCAGAGAAAGGTAAAAGTGCACTTTGAAAACCACCGCTGCTTTCAAGTATGTTGTAATCTGTCACAGTCATTATAAGATATTCTTAAATTACTTATCCAAACTCTAAGCTAGACAAGTCAACTAATCATAAAATAAATTGCAATAATGATGGCTAACATTTATTAAGCACTTACTGCATACCAAGAACTATATTAAGTGTTTCTCATATACTGCCCATATAATAATAAAAAACTAAATATAGCAGGAATTTACATATTGAAGAACTAACTTTATAGAGTTAAAAGTAGATTCTCAAGAGAAATTAATCAATGATGCTATGTTGCCCAAAAGTAGATATCTTGTCAGTATATTGCTAAAAAAAAGTCAACTCATTATAAAATATCTTACAAATTTATAATGGGAAACAAAGTTTAAGTATACTATTTTCCCCCAGCTACAAGTAACTGAAACAAAAATCTGAAGGAAAAAAAAAACACCTATGCTCACACAGTTTACAAAATAGAAATGTAGACAAGACTTAATTTGATCTATATGTTCTCCAAGTTTAAAAAAAATGAATTCCCCAAATTTACCCTGACATGGAGAGAGGTTAGCCTCATACTCAGAGATACATAATGGCAAAGGCATTTCTGAAAATAGACATGAAATAACTTATTCATGATATTTATTAGAATAAAGAAAAGAACTAGCAATCATCTAAATGTTATAATCATAAAAATTTAAGTGTGACACTTCTACTTCCTTTCCAAATACTTTTACGGTGGCTTCATAAGCCCTGCCTTAATGCTCTAAATGTACTGTACTATTTCTTCATTTTCCTGAGGCGGAAATAAGGTGAAACAAAGCTTCTAGTAAAAGGAGCGGAAATTAAGTGCAGCAACCTGTGTTCAGGCTGCTTTGTTTTCTATTCCAAGTTTCTCCACATACTAGCTGTGATATTGGGCAAGTTGCTTTAACCTCTCTGTTGCTTCATCTTCAAAAGAGGGATGAAAATAAAACTTATCTCATACAGTTATTATGAGGATAAGTTAGCCCCATAAAGTACTTAAAATAGTGCCAGGTACTACTAAGTGTTTAACAAGTGCTACTTATTAACATTACTATTATAATGGTCTTTATTATAATCATCTAAAAGATAAATTATGTCTAGAAACAAATAAATTTTTGGCTCAGAATCACATAATTAATACTATCCTACAAACAAGTTCCAAAAGGATTGGATATGACTCTAAAGGCAATGATATACTGTTGTTAGCCTTTATCAGAAATACACAAATGAACTTAAAATACCATACAGTTCTATTTTTTGAATATCTTTCATTCGCTCTTTTTTTTTTTTTTTTTTTTTTTTTTGAGGCAGGTCTCACTCTACTGCCCTGGCTTGAGTTCAGTGCCAGAATCTCAGCTTGTGAAATCCTCAGTCTCATAAATAGCTGGGACTACAGGCATACACAACCACACCCAGCTCCTTTTTTTTTTTTTTTTTTTTTTTTTTGGTAAAAATGAGGTTTTGGTAGAGACAATGTTGCCTAGCCTGGTTTCAAACTCCAGGGCCCTAGCAATACTCCTGTCTGAGTCTCCCAAAGTGCTGGAATTACAGACCTGAGTCACTGTGCCCAGTCATACTCTTTTTTTTCAGTGTGAATATCCATATGATTTGACTCACCTGGGTATCTGTATGGAAATGAGGATGCAAGTAAGATATAACCAAAATGGTACACTTTATTTGTTGCATACACTGAAGAGTTTGAAGTTAAAAGTTTTTAACTTAAGGTGCCATTAGTTGAATGAGTGTGTATTCCTCCTTCTCAGAAGGAAAAAAATGTAAGTTTGGGTCCTTTATTAATTTCCTACTTTCCACTTCTCCACCTCTTCCTCTAACCCATCCCACCCTTCATCTTCATTTAAACTCTAAAACCATAGATCGTGAGGAAAACCATCCAACAGAATCAGGACTCACATCCAATCATTTTGTACAAAAAAAGTATTTCACATAGACAGAACTTCTGTTACTCCTAGGAATCATGGAATATGAGATTGCTGAAAGTTACCACGTTCAAAATTACAGTATGTTAAGTGAGGATCTTACTTTACAAAAGCTCATTCCTATGTCTCTACTACTACAAACAACATGGAGTAACTAAAAAGCTCAACTTTCAAATATGCACACAGTAGAGATAAGGGTATACCACAAACTGTGTCATGACAGAGGCCATACCTTCAAGGCTTGCTGCAGAATCTGGGTGTCAGTAATCCCTGTGATTTCTCTCAGCTGATTCAAAAACGTCTGCTGGTGCTATAGGAAAAAAAGGACAAAAATTACATTCTGGACTCTGAAAATATACAAGAAGAAAATATATGATCTTTGGGTAAAAGGAAAAAAAAACAGAAAACAAAATAAACTAGAGTTAAAAAAGAAAAAGAAATAAAGCTTGAGAGAGACTAAATAAAGTTCATTCTTTTAGAAAGGATGAAGCAAGCTCTGGAGAGCCCTTATTCCATTCTCGTGTTTCCAAAAGGGAACTTCTCTTCATTACTCCCCAAGAACTCGTATTGATTTAACAGTTTCTGTCCCACTCTTCATCCTTCATTTCCTCCCCCTTCCCTAAAAAAGGAGTGATAATCTCAAGGAGAAGAACACCTGGGATGTGTGAAAACAGCAGTCCATAACTAGATGAGTAATTACATCATGGAGATCCTCAGATCTATTCAAGAAAAAAAGATCACTGCATTCTCCAATCTGTCATAAAAGAGTATGAAATGAATAGAGCATCTGCGCCCACTTCATTCTTCTTACACTTACACGCTGCAGGAGAGCAGGAGGAGAAGTAGAGGGATGGGACTCCACTAACAAATTCTCCCCTGATCTTCCCTAAATAATAACCAACTTCTTCCCTACATCTCTGTATTTCTTAAAGCAAGTTCCCCAATATTGTAAAACAGTACCATGAAATAAATAAACTGCAATGGATACGACGCAAGCCTGGTCACCAGGATAAATTAGGAGCTACAGAAATTTCTTTTGAAAATGTTTTACATTTATCTCAGTAATAATTCATCTGAGAATCTTCAATGGATGCTAAAACCACTGAACCAGTTTCATGAGAAAAAGAATATTTGCATAGTTTCAAATTCACTTCCCACAAATTATAATGGAAGAATAACTTTATAGTTTAAAATGTGACAGTCATCACCTTAACCAAAAGATTCAAGTTAATAACCAACATTGAGACAAAACAGCACTGTGTGGCTCCTAACACAATATAATCTGTGATATTCCTGACAAAAATGCATAACCTAAATCTAATTTTAAGGAAGCATCAGAAAAACCCAGACTGAAGGACATAGTGCAAAGTAATCACTGTACTGTCTTCAAAAATATCCATGCCATGAAAAACAAAGAGTGAGTCTCCACGTCAAAGGAGATCTTTAATAAAGAGGCATAGCAACCAAATACAACACAGGACGCCTAACTGCATCTCATACCAATTGTTATGCAGGATATTTCTGGGACAATTGGAGAACTATGCATATGGACTGCTTAGTAATGATACTGCATTTATTTTAAGTTTCTGAATTTGATAACTGCAGAATAGTAAGAGAAAATTGGTTTTTTCTTAGAAAATATACCCTGAAGTATTTAACTGGTAAAGGTGCATGATGTCTACAACTTACTCTCAAATGGTTCAGAAAAGAAAAAAAAAAGGAAGCTCTTGTACTAAGTCTTACAACTTTAAATTTGAAATTATTTTAAAATAAAAAGCTTTTAAATGTTCTTTATTCAGATTTGCTGATGTCAGAATTGTAAAATGTGCATTTAAAAACATGTCTAATAACTTAAATATGTATAGTATCAATTTTCAGAAGTCTAGAAGGTCCTAAATAAATTACACCAAAAGTTTAAGATAATGCAGTCCAAATATCTTTTACAGAAACCATATGTATCAGTTAGAAACTAAATTCAGCTTCATGTAACACATTCCCAACTAAATAGTAGCTTCAATATTCTGGAGTGTCTTTCTTTTCTAAATTAAGGAGTTGCAGTGGGCAGCCAAGCCTGTAAGGACATCCAGCAGCATAATGTCTCTATGTGGGACATCCCATCATAATGTCTGTCACTCCATGGTATACTCCTCCGCCATCCTGTCCAAGTTCTAGGTAGGAAAAAGGAAAGGGCAAAGGACAAAAGGTATCTGCAAATGAATCTGCCTTCCTTTTCTCTTTCCACCACTCCGGCTGGAGTTCAGTGGCATGATCGCATCTCACTACAGCCTCAAACTCCTGCATCCACACCCTTTGCCACTGGTTACTTCCTCCCACGAGAAACATGATACATTCCCTGTAGCATTAATGATGAATGGCATGTTAGCAGACAGCATGCAAGCAGACATGAAATACACCTGCACGATGGGCTGGCCCTGCCAAACTTCTGCAACCTCCTTAGAAGAACATTGTTTGGTAGCCCAGTTGCCTGGGAAGAATGAGACACAAGTGAAGAGCCATCTGAGGCAGAGAAGCAAATCTGTGACCATGATGACAATATTTCCTTATGCCATTTAGGTTTTGAGATGGTCTGTTATGGCAATACTTGACTAATACAGAGTGCAGTAAGAATACTGAGTATTTTACGGATAGAAACAAAGTCTTTGAAATTTTGTGGGGATTTTTTATGGGGGGGTGTTTTGTTTATCTTTTACTTCAAAGTCACCTAAATATCCAAGAAAAATTTAGGAGTATCTCCAACATATCTCATGTTTTCCTAAACCTTGACTGAAAATGAAACAAAGAGAAGAACTGGGGAAAGGGGAGAAACTGCGTAAAATAGAAAAAAAGTGAAAGAATTTCCTAAGGTAGCAAGAAATGCAAAAGAGATCAAGAGAACAATGACAAAAATTGTAAGTTTAAGGCAGAGAAGCTACCTCATTTGTAAAGTCTTCCCCCTTGTTACTGACATCTTCCAACTGTGCTTTTCCTGTCTTTGAAAACCTGCATCTTCATTTCCTGCAATTACACTTTTTTGGTACTGCTACTTCTATTGTGATTAAGAACCTGGTCCTTCTTTCAAAGTCTGTACCTTCCCATTTACCAAGCTGTGATACACTCTAATCCTCCACTGGGAATGTCCTCCATGGGGTTCTTTCCTTGACTAGCAATTTGGGATTCAAAGGGAACCCAATTCAATCCACTTTCACATCTATAGCCCTTTTCTGAGTTCTGAGGTCCTCTCTGTATGAATTTTTCATCTACTAAAATACAGGGAGTTGGGTCCAACACTGTCCCACCACTGGACCAAGAAGGGCAAGATGAAATGTCAAAGAGACTGAATTGCTTGCATACACCACAAAAATCATAAGCAAAGAAGAAAAGACGATATACAGGCCTTCAGATTCCTTTCTCAATGTTATTTTTACTGCACAATGATATCCTTAGGTGCCTACTATGTGCAAAATACAGCACCATGCACTTAAGGTATAAGGAAGCATTGGTGATTTCAATATAAAGTAAGAATCAAAGGACTTCACAGAAATTGTTTCTCTCCCCAGTTAACTCTACCTGATGCTGGGGTCTTTTAAAAATCTGTTCCAGTAAAGACAGCATATTTAACATCAGTATACTTTTTGAGGGTGCAAAAAAGGGGATCTCGAGCCTAAGTCAAAGAAAGAAGATATGCATTTATTATGCTCTTGCCGTATGCTACTGTTGAGGCTCAGAAAACAATGTCCCAAAGTATGGTATTTTGGCTTGCTGTGTGCTCTGAACAAAGGCACTTGAAAGGCCTCAAAAATAAACCTCAGAACCAAGTTGCCTTTTTGACATTCTCCTGCCTCCACTTTCCCTTAGGAAGCACAAGGAGGGGCTCTCTCTGAAGTTCCTTATCTGACTCAGGGAGGTTCATCCAGAAGGAATGGAATTGTCTTGAACCACCTCCCCGGAATCGGGATTAACCAAAGATTATCTCCTTTCACAGGAGGGGAAACAAAAAGTCCATGCAGCTCACCGTGCCCGAATGGATGTTTCACTCATTCTTTCCATTACTTTCTAAGGGTTGTTACTTGAGAGACTCTATCTACACAATAGGACAGCCTGTGTTCACAGTGCAGTTCCGCCCTTAACTATCTCGTAACTTGTTGCAACGTCCCCAGAGCACAAAACAACTTTGTCCCAGGCCACTGTCTGCTCTTTGGGCCCACTGGTCTCCCCTAAAAATCATTTACTCTTCCTCTAAAATTGCCTACATCCTCCACATCTCTCACCTCTATGAAGAGGATATTTAAGCTTCAACCATCTAGCCCTTCTTTTAGTCTCATTTTGTGTGGCACCCATGTATGCTTGCATGTCAATAAATTTGTATGCACTTTTCCTTTTAATCTGCTTATTGTCAGTTTATTTCACCACTCAATTAATCAAACTTTCAGAAAAAAAGTTAAACTTCCCTACACCATATTGCTTATAATGCTTCCAGTATACAATCTCATTAAATACACACACACACACACACACACACACACACACACAATTTAGGAAGCTACACTCATTTTATAGCTAAGAGAGACATCAAGAGTTCATTCAGTAAGTGCAGACACAAATGAAACCAGGTCCTTCCAATTCCACACCCTATGTACCTCTCATGTTTTCTTGTCTCTGATATCTGACACTGGAGATTAAAGATTCAGTAAACAATGAACACTCACTGCAAAAGTCCACTGTTATGTTTATGCAAAATACTTAGATAGTGGTAAAAGAAAACCACAGCACCATGGACTACAAAGCAGAAAGGATGTGTTTGTGATAGAGTGACTCATTAGTCAGTTGCTGGATCCTTTAACTGAATTCCCAAACATAAGTGAACTTTGTTTCAAGGGAAGAAAGTTACAGGTTTTCTTCCTTGGGGGAAAAAGGCAAGCCTAAGAATGATCTCGGAAAAAAATCCCAGGTGCAGTGGCTTACAAATGTAACTCCAGCATTTAGGTAGGCGGAGGCAAGAGGATTGCCTGAGCCCAGGGGTTCAAGACCAACCTGGACAAATTGGCAGGACCTCATCTCTGCAATAAATCAAAAAGCAAGCTGGGAATGGTGGCACGCGCCTGTGGTTCCAGTTACTTGGAAGGCTGCGGTGGCTGTTAATGTGCCACTGCACTCCAGCCTGGGCAGCAGTGAGACTCTGACTCAAAAAAAAAAAAATCGAATTTCCCAAGAATAGAAAAATAAACCCAACTTGATAGAATATCCCAAGGCATTCTTACACCTCAGAATCACATGCACTGAAGCACTACTAGCACCAAGCGGTAAACATTT